CTGTGCTGCAAGGCTTTGGTAAGAGCTCAGCATTCCAATGTACTGGAACAATAAAAGGTACCTGAAGCAGATCTTAATGGGTCAGGTATCTCTTTCCCTTTGTGTATTGACCTTGTAGTTGCCCATTTCCAAAACTCTGGCCTTCATTTAGGTATTTCTGTGACTATAAGGTCTGTACTGGTATGAGAGCATGGTACAAGAAGCCACTGCCAGAAGTGTGAATGCAGCCGCAGCTTTTTCATCTGCAGCTGCAGCTGTCCCCACACCACCCTGCCTGTAGGTCACAGCCTCTCTCTTGGGCAGCCTTTTTGGCCTTTTCAGGTGCAGAAATGTAGTGATTGTGGTGACAAGCCCTCCTTGCTGGGTTGTCTCCTCAGCGTGAGAGACAAAGGTGCCACCAGTGACTGCAGCTGTGGTGTCTGAGTTAGTACAGCAAGAATCCCTTTTGGTTCCCTGGAGTCAGTGGGACCTCAAACTACTTTCCTGTTGCTCCTGATTGTGCCTGTGCAATTCCATCTGCTCAAACAACATAACCACTGGTGCTTGCAGAATTTTTACTTTGTCTTGCCTGGCCATGGAGCAGGGTTCTTGCAGTGGGCACTGTGAGCAGGCGTGCCTGTGATGCTGCTTTTCCTCCCTCATCCAGCTCCTGGAGTGTCCTAACTGCCCTGGGAAAGGCAAGAGATTTAAAAGCTAACACAGTCTGCAACTTGCAGCTCAACTTTAGACACAAGTGTGAGTATAAATAGCAGTGGGAATGCATCCTTCATGGCTCGTTTGAAATGAGCCTTGGAAAAACACCAGCACCAAGGTGTGCCTTCATCTGACTCCAGTTTGCTCTGGAGTTTCTCTGTGCAATGTAACACTCATTCTCCGTGTTTGATAGAATGACAGCAATGTGAAATCACCCAAAAGATTTGGGCTTGAAAAGCAAATTCAAGGCAACTTAAAAAAAAGTGTTTAATTCCTAATAACAAATTAGATTTTTGTAGTTTTCTTAAGGGACCTTTTAATAGGAGGAAGCATGTGGAACTATGAATGAATTAAACAAATCTCACATATATTGAATTTGAAGGCACAGTTCATTTTTTTTTTCTCCCAGTTGAGCTTTTAATTTTAATAGAAAAAAATTACAACAATTTAAGCTTCTGGTTAGCTGGAGTTCCTGGCACTCCTGGTATTACACAAGAATTATCCAGTCTGCTTTTTGTGGAAAATTCAGATTTTGACTATTCAGAGGTAAAATAAAATTTTGAAGACTGAAATCAGGCAACACTAGAGGAAATGTGTGAAAATGTCTTGCTTGAATAGAAAAATAAATCCCAAAGCAAAGCTAAGTGCTCTTGGAGACTTAAAAAAATATTATTGTTATGTCAAAGAGTAAATATAAAGATATAATTTTTCTGTTCTGCTTCTTTTAATAGCAGCTCAGAAGTATAATTTTATTACTCTGTCCCAGAATAGCTGTAACTGCAGTTACAGTGATAATAATACAACTTTTGACAGAGAGGAGAAATTAATTAAAATAAAATTTTAATAATGTTTGACAATCTCATTTTTTTTTATCCAAATAGTAAAAGAATTATAAGGAAATAAAAACAATACCAAACAACCCACATGTGTGTAATGAAATTTTGGAACCCCTGAGTAAGGTCTAATTAGTCATAAGAGGATGACAAATAGGGCCCCACTCCAAACCACACAGTTTTTTGTCCAGTGAATTGCCTGACTGAATGTAAATGCTTTGATACTTAGAATTACTCTTGTAAATATCTGGAAAAAGAGACAATCTTAAAATAATAATCAAAATTTAGCATTTCTTGTGTACAATTTCTAGAATTCTTGGAGACGAATATTACTTTGTCATCACGTTTAGTGGCAGCAACAGTTAAAAATACTAATTTGTAACTGAGCATTTGCTGTTACTAGACCCTCCTTCCAGCTGCTGGTCACTGCCAGCTCCTGTGGCCAGATTTTTCCCTCTGGATGTCAGCCTGTTGCACATGGGCTGTGCTCAGGCACTTGTCCCTTTGGGATCCCTCTCAGAGCCATTCTGTGGGGTGCACTCCAGTGTTGGGACATTTCAGAAATGTGGGAATCAGAAAAACAGAAATTTCCACAGACACTGAAGAGTTTGATCTGCAGCCTTAGAAGAAGCTTGGAGTGTTGTAAAAATACAATACACAGACATTAAGTAGAAAAATCTTAAACTTGTGTTTCTGTAGTTGTAAGTAAGAATATACCTTAAGTCAGAAACTCTATTGGGTAAGATGGTGAAGGGTCTATAGTATAGTAACGTGACTGTATAAAGTAAGTTAAGAGTTTAAAAGTTCTAATAGAAGCATATGTGTGTACATGTGATTACAACCTATTGGGTAAAAATACCCACAGTGCAGTAGAAGTGAGTAATGATAGGTTAGAAAAGCAAAATAAATCTTGTAGCTGCTGTCTGTTGGATTTGAAAGTTATAATTGCCTTGTAACAGAGAACTTGTGACTACTCTTGAGCTATGGCTGGATACTTGCTCCTTTAAAATCTCACGGCCTCTGAGGCTGAGGTTTATCTGAGCAATAAACTGTTCTTAGCCGCAATTAGTCCCATCCCTTCATTACTAGTGGTGGTAACGATACAGAAACTGACAGTCTGGGAGAGGGAGGCTGAAATGGAAGCGAAGATTGGGGTTGACTTGTGGAGACTGGACCTTCCATAGGTGCTGCTGTGGTGAAGGAATGAAGAGGAAAATAGGCAAAAATGTTCAGAGGAAGATGGGCAGAAAGAGGCAGGAGGGTGAGTGTGACGTAGGCTGCTCTCTGAGGAATGATTGACAAAATTCCTCATATTGTGCTGCTGCTGTCAGCTCATGAGTGGAACCCCAGTGCTAGCCCATGAAACCCCAGTGCTAGCCAAGAAACACCGCTGCTAGCCCAAGATCATCCCTTCATGCAGAGTTGGTGCTTCACTCAATGCAGTTTTCAAAGGCCCCTCCCCTGCCCATGGGCTTGCCTGTCAAAGGCGCTTGGCTCACTTTGCATTTTAGGTGACAGGCATCACTATGTTGTAAATCAGCATGGTAAATGGTAAATCATGGTCTCATGTATAATAGGTGTACTAAAGAACAAAATCTCTGTATTTTTTATTTTCTTGATGCTGTTAACATCCCTTAAAATTCTAACTTAATAGCTCTTCAGTTTTTTATGTGTGATTGGAAACAGCTGTGTCTAAACTGCTTTGACATTAAATGAGAATGGTCTTGAAAAAAAAAAACTTCTTTGTGTACAAATTAAAGAATTATAGTTTAGCCAGATTTAGATTTTGCAAGGCTTTTGCTGAGTCATTAAGTCTGGAAAAGAAAGTGGTAATTACATAGCATGAATAAAATGTAATTCCAGAACAGTCTTGAAAGGCAGATAGTTGTGAACTTCAGAGCTCATCACTATGAGATACTGAGCAAAGCAGATTTACTACCAAAGCATTAATATCTCCAATTCTTGCCACTGATGGTTGTGTCATTGCACTTAATCAAGGCATTATTTAAGTCCTTAAAGGAATTTAGACATAACAGAGTGTGCAAATGTTGTAAAGTCCCCTAAGTAGTGAGTAGTATAAATATTATAGCTCCTAAAAGCACTGTGAGGGAATGTAGAGAAAGAATATTTGTATCATATATATTTACCTTATTTATAATATTTATATTTATATTTTATTATTTTATTTTTATATATTTTTTAAAGAGCTCAAGTAGTTTGAATACATGAGTATGTTTTAAGTGAACCCATTCTTAGTCTCTCAATAGTCATGCAAGATTAGCTTCTGTATTCTTGATTATCAGGACTTACAGTGGTTAGCCATCATTATATGAACTCAGTTTACTTCAACTACCCTAATGTCAACAGCATGACTTAAAATATTCCTTAAGGACAAAGACTGCATCTATTTTGCATACTGTACAAGTAATACGTGGAAGAAAAAGGAAAAAGTTGCACAAAGTTAATTATGATTATTAACTTTGGGTGTATAAAATAGTGTCTAAACAGCATGTTCTCTCCTTTTTTAATTTTAGTCACCACAAACTTACATAGGAACAGCAGCTGCATAAATGAATCCTGTGCTTCTAGAAATCTGTAAACTTGCATTGTAAATATATGGATTAAATGGAACTTTCAGGAGGCCAGGCACACATTTGATCATCCATGTGCACACACACACCTGCACACATATATCTGTGTATCTGTCTCTTTGTCTACAAATAAACACATATACATATGCATATTTATATATGTAAATACACACACACACACACACACACACACACACACATATATATATACACATGTCTCAGTGCACATATATATATATTTGTGTATGTAAGGTGCACTAATACCACTTCAATTTAAATCAAACATGTATATGTAGACTTTATTTATCAGAACTTGACCACTGTCCATCTATGCATACTTAGAAATAAATGACTAACTGTATTTTTTTAATATTTGTATTTTTACAAAGACATACAGTTTAAAACTCAAAATTCACTATACAAATACACTGAGGTACCAGAGTAATGCCAAAAGCAATATGCCAGAAAACATAAAGTTTTCTGAGAATTTGGAAACAGAAAATTTGATACAGAATGAGTATCTTTAACTTTTTTCAGGGGCCATGAGAAGGTGAATTTCTGGCTCCAGGGGCTGGTTACACCTTTGAAGAGCACAAACTCCACCTAGTGACAGGTTTAGTGGTGAAATTTTAGAAACCCAACAATTCTAAAGCACAATCTGAGCTGTATGGCAGGACCATAAAAATGAGAAATAGAGACTGAAGTTGATACACTTAATCTTTGAATAAGTAAGAAGAAAACAGAGAAAGATCTTTATCGAATTTTTTGCTACTCATCTGTTTATGAAAACATTTCAGTTATAAAAAGTCTTCACATTTTTCTTCACATAAATATTGTGAACTTGTTAAAAAACCCTGTAAATTAATATACATGCACATGTAAGTTATTTGATTAATCTTTTTTATTAAAAATGAAGACATGTAGAAAAGACATTGGAATGGGTTAATATATTCCTGCTTCTTGTTGAAGCAAAGTGTGTGGACAAGATAAATGTACCAGTCCCTAAAACTGCTCAGACATACAACAGTTTACAGTCCATTACATAAACTTTGTAGTGTTAGATTTGAGGGTCATTCCCATTTTAAAGTAATATTTCTCACTAAATTAGTTCACCATTAAAAAAAGAAATTGTTCTTACAGTAACAATTTCTGTGACTGATCTCCCCGTAAAAACTAATTAAAGCTTATTTAAATTAATGAGGGTACCATTTACTTTATTTCTCCTTTTCCACTTTACTCTTCTCAACAGTATCCAAGTGGAACAGAAACCACATGTGCATTCAGAAAAATAAGAAAATATGTGAATATAATGGAGAAAAAACCCCTTCGTGTAAGGTTCACTGCAGAACCTTCACTGTGTGGTCAGGGATCACTTTGGGGTCACCGACCACCAGGGACCAGCAAAGGGACCTCCAGGACAGAAGAATGTGTGCAAATGGGAGGGAAAATATGTTATTTCAGGGAAATTATTTATCATGTGTATGTTTATTCTGGAAAAATCAATGATTATGTATGTAAAACACAGTATATAAACAGGAGCCTTTTCTGTACTCAGCCTGCACAATATTTTAGAGGAGCTATCCCCTTGAGCATCTGGATGAATAAGGAACTCCTGCTTCTTAATGATACAGTGGTGTTAAAAAGATTTTATTTGTACTGATTTTTGGCTCCTCATGCTAAATGTCCATCTGAAGAAAAGCCAGTCTGCCTGAGAAAAACATGAATATTTACCCCATAATGATCAGTTTGTCATACTGATGCCTCAGTACCTCTGGTTGCATTATTTTCCTGTGAGGAAAGCTTCACTGGAGACTCATAAAGGTGTGGATGTTCAGAGAATACAGGATTAGAATCCAGTGAAACAAGAGTGAGGGTATCCAGTTTTCACTGGGCCTGATGCAGTGAGGAGAGAGGCCCAGCAGCTTATGCCAATTTCAGCAGGAGCAAAGGCTTTCAGCACCTCTCAGAAATAAAAGCTTTCTCCATGTCCCAGTTTGGCAGGATACTTCCATCCTTACACTGTTTCCACTGGGACTGCTGCCATGTGTGAAATTAGGCACATACTCAACTTAACTTCTTCCATAATGGCCTACAAGTTAACTTGAGGGTTTTACTGCTATTTTTTCTATGTCAAAACAGAAAGAAACATGTACATATCTAAGTGAGTACCCTCAATATTCTTAACTAGGTTAAACCAAATAATATCTTACATCAAATATTATAATTTTGCAAGAGTATCATGCTGAAAGTAGTATTCTGTAGACTGAAAGAGAATAAAAATACTTAGGAAAAACCATAAAATGCCTGTATTCAACTTTTCACATAAAAAACCCCCATATTTTGCTTTAGAACATCAACAAGTAAGGCCACAGATCTCCAGGAAGGTGCTGATAAGCATATCATTTCACACTATTAAAATTACCAATAAATACCAAGAAAATAATCTGCCTATTTAAAATTACAGCAATCCAATCAATCAAAAAAAGCAGCCATCAACATCTTGAGTCATAACTGTTTTCAAGTAAAAATTGCACTATATGCTTTAAGACTGTCACATTCTCATATATTATAACAGTGTTACAGCAATATACATGTATTAACTTTCATCCTTCTGTCCTGGTTAGTCACAGTTTCACTGGAATTCTCCAGTGTATGATTCTGATTTTCATCCTTACTGTCTTCACCAGTTAAATCTTCCTTTTCTTTGTCTTCACTCTGCAATGGCTTTTCAGAGCTGTCTTCATTTCTGCTACATACATTCTTCTGGCTTGTCAGTGGCTTTCGCTTAAACAGGGAAAACTGGAGTGAAAAAAAACAGGTAAATTATATGACTGAAACAGTTAGCAGTGAAATTCAAAATAAAAAAACTCACAAATGCCTTTTTTATATACCAATTATATTTCAAAACAAAATTACTAAAAATGTTAACAAGAAACATTTGTAATATTTAAAATGTGTTAAAATAGTACATGAGAATCAGAAAAGTTAAAGTGATTGCATTTTGTCAAATTACACATTGTACAGTTTGTACAAAATGCTGTAAGTGGTGCATTTATTTGGGTTTCTTTTAAATAAGAGCCTGAGGCAAGGTCCAAAAATGAAGTCCCAGAGCAGAAAGTGCTTACTATGCCTCCTGATAAACGTGTGTACTGCCATAAATGACAGTGCCTGTGCTCAGTGAGACCACGCTCGTGTCAAAGTTAACTACTGCTTAGGGTCTTTGGTCAACAGGAAACTCAGCAGCCTCTGCAGGAGCCTCTGGATCCTAAAACCTGTAAGAAATTCTGTATCAGGTACTCCTCAACATGCTCATACACCTATATAGAGATATACAGGATCACAAAATCAGTGCATTTTGCAAATAGATGCAAGGTCAATGAGCTCAGCTGCTGCTTTCAGAGACAAATGTTGGGGGGAATATTAGATAATGTCCCACAGGAATGAAGTCCTAAGTTTTCACCTCACCAGTTCATGATGTAATAAACAACCTCTCTGTCAGTGACATGCCATCCATGAAGAGGTCATAATGGACTTTAACTCATTTAACTATTATTTGGACAATTTAAAGTTATTTAATCAAAAAATAAAATCAAGTCTAAAACAGAAGGAACAAGTTGCCCAGCAATTTAATTATCTATGCAGGTATGTGAGTTGAGGTATTTGCTTTGGTAACTGCCCACTGGCTTCTTGGTCACTGGCAAAGCTAGAAAGAAACATCAGGCCACAAACCTTTTTTCTCCCCACAATTCCTCCAGTTTTTTGGTCATCAGTGTTCTCTGAAGAATTGTTCATAGTGTGATTGTCAGGGCTTTCCTTCTCTACAATAATAATTTAATATAATTATTCATATTAAATTTCTTCTGATTCATGCAAATCAGAAAAATATCACAGAAAAGCAGAAAAAAATGTACTCTTCAGATTATTTTTGAAGTAGAGGTCACTGAATAAAACTGAAAAAGCAATCAGAATATTCAATAAAACTTTATGTCCAGCCTGAAAAGACTGGTTTTATTTTATAATCTCTCCATATAATGTCCTGATATTACTCTCCAGATGCTCAATTTTTAAGACTAGAACACTTACAGGAGTAAGTTATAGGAGTAAGTAAGGACAATATATAAAATACTTTTACTTGACACTCACAGTCTCCTCTTGCAGACAGGAGACAATGTCTTGCACACTTATATGCACGTATATTCTAATTTGGCAAAGCTGATTTTAGGGCAGGAGTTATGGTTCAGCATGAATTTTATTCCATAGAAACAATTCTGGGAAAGGAAAATCTTTCCATCTCAGTTGATGTTTCTGTGTTTAAATTTTCCTATACTGTCTGTATGAATCATATAAATTTCAAACTTAATACCAAAACTTCCAAATCACTGGATAATGGAAAAATATTTAAGCACCCCTTCTGTACAAGCTATTTCCATTATAATATTGAAAATAAATGGCACAGCTTCTTGATTATAAAGGCTGTGGTCTGTTTTATAACAAACTTGTTATTTTCTTTCAAGGGAACCATTCTAGATTATTCCAGATTTCTAAAATAAAAGAGTCCTACACATACTGGGCACCCAACTTCATGTTCCCCAGCTTTTCTAAAGGAATATACAATTCTCATAAACTGCCATCAAAACTGCAAGGAGTTCTAGACTTACATCTTCAGCATCCTGAACAGTGTTCAGCAATTATCACATTTCATCTAAAATAATCTCTCTGTGAATAGAATGAGGAAATGTCAGCTGAAAAAGATGGGGAAGAATTCTGAGAAGCTTCTTGATTGAAGTGAGGCACAGGGCACCTCACCTCAAGAAGTTGCCTGAGAGATAATAAAATTACCATGACTTTGGCACTGCACAGCCAGAACCGCTCTTAGCAGGATACAGTCCTGTAACATGTAACTGGGAAAAGTATTTATTTCTTTATCATTAACAATTAATAACGGCGGTTTGCCCCTTAAATTTTATCACCTCTCAAGAACTGCTTTGCCAACTATGAACAAGAACTGTGTTGTCCAGTATCTTTATAATATTGTTTATAAAACTTTTATCTGTCTTTAGAATGCCCAGTTCTTCAGAACTGAATTCTTACCCTGCTGAACGATGGTCTCTTTCTGAGTAGTCTCCTCTGTCTATAGACAAAAACAAACAAATAAACAAACTTTCAAAATTGTTTAAAAATATAAAGTTGTTTAATTACTAACACCTATATGTTTCTTCCTCTACCAAAACCACCCCAAACAACAACTTTGCATTTACAGGATAGGTACACATGTATCAAACTGAAGTCAGTTATAGAACCAAATTCTTTCAGAGACAAATAACTTAATAGGAATAAATGCCTTTACCTCTGCAGTTTCCACAGTGCTACTACTACTGCTTGTCTCTCCCTCAGGTGATTTACGATCCTTCTCTTTTTCATTTTTTTCCTCTTTTTCTTCTTTCTCTGTTCCTTCTTTTGTTTCATCTCCTTCTGTTTCTTCTTTTCCTTCTACTTCTTCTACTTCTTTTTCTTCCTCCTCCTCCTCCTCCTCATCATCATCATCACCATCATCATCATCTATTTCTTCATCTCCAAACAAGTTTTGTTCCTTGGACAAAATTGCCAAAACATAATTTTGAAACTCGAGGTATACAATGATCATGATCCTCATCCTACATCAGTTCATCACGTGTCCGAATTTGACTAAGCACAAGAAAACTCAAAAAGGAACGTTCTAAGGAGATAGAATAAGAACAGACACAGGAGACCTCAATCAAAGTTTGTTAATTTTAATATGTTTTTAAAAATTGACCTCCAGGGAACATTAGGATTGCAGCTGGCTTATGTGGCCAGCATGTGCCTCCTTAAAGAAAAAACAATGAAAATAACTTCTTTTTGGAAAGAAAATATTTCTTTTAAATGTTAAAAATGAACATAATAGACACAAGCAGCAATAATTCCAACACCAAAAAAAAATTCAAGTCTATTTCTCAAGAAAATGAAGAAATGCCAGATATAAAGCTTAGATTCATGAGATTCAATACATACATTATAATTTGAATTTAAACTATTTTTATTTTCAGATAAAACTTCAAAACAGTAAAAATAAAATGGCCAAGGGCATTATAAAATAAATATTTAAAAGCATGAAAGCTATTTTTGTAAAATGTTTAGAAAAATGAATCAATTATATCCTTCTTACTCCCTTCAATCAGATTGTCATTATTATGCCAGTATGTACTTATAACAGCATAAAATGCAATATTTAAATAAGAAGCATTCTCATTCCCATTGCAGAACTATAAGGGCCTACACCAAGGGCTTCCAAGGTCAAATCAGGTGAAGGCACATCACTGCCCAGAGGAGAACATTTCTGTTCCACTGCAGCCAATGTCACAGGGAAAGCTGGTGGGAAGTATCTGCACACCCTTGTGGAAGTGTGGTGGAGGAGTGAGCCTTACACTGAACTGCTTCCTACACCTGGTTACAAATGTTGTCTCCTGTCTGTTGGTAATGTTTTCCCTGTTCTCTCTTACTTTGGATTTTTGCCTGTTGTCTCCCCAGCTGCCCTCACGTTCATTAGAAGGTGACTTGCTGGTGAGGAGAAAACCACCAGTGAATGTTTCCAGAAGCTGGAACACAGAGACCTTTGGCAGAACTCCTTTGCTAAGCCCAGCTCACATATCCCAGGAGTCTGAGACATCCTTACAGGAGATTTAGGGAGACCTGCATCATTCTGGATGCAGCTCACAACCCACAGCACCTAAAATCACACTAGATTAATCTATTTCAGCAACTGAGCCATGCTCCTCATCTAAAATAAAAAAGGTGGAGGTGAGAGACACTCCTTTTACTCCAAGGAAGCCACCTGTTTACCTGAACAGCTTCTCAGACTGACCTAATTTCCATTTACTGCAGCTTTTCACTGGTGTCTCTGGCTGTCACCTCTTCTGTTCAACTCCTAAAATAGCACATTTTACATCATAACTCTGATAGTACAGTTCTGTTACTGTTACTTCTGCTTGCCCAATTACAGGCATGGTTTAGAGATTTTACCAATGGTAGGGAATGATCTGAGAATGTCATAATACAGATATGCTTTTATCTTAAAGGATGAATCATCTGACCATTCAAACTTATACCTGAAGAATTTAATAATCTAAGAATCTAGGCTACTAATTAAAGTACATATATGTGTGCATATATGTATTATATGTTAAATGCATATTATTCTCTCTCATCATGCTTTAGGGGGTTTATTTTCTTATTTGACTCTTAAATTTTTTTTTCATAGAAAGATAATGCTGAAAGAATATCTTCAATACCTCTAAAGTTGAGACAGAGAGAAGCTGTCTGGGCCAAGGTCACACACAGAAAGTCAAAAGTATTAGAGAGCATACAAGTAAAATATTTCAAACTGGTTTCATTTAGGCTTGAGGCTCCAGTTTCTTCAATGACAAAACCATGGTTGTTACTATGAAAGAGCCTTAAACATTTTGTAGTTATAGCATAATAAATCAGTACAGCAGAACAGCAATCTATAAAATATAACCTTGCAGATTTATTTTCACACATTTATACTGGTTTTCCTATAAATCTCTAGATATTTTTAAACATAAATTTGCAGTTTGCAAGCTTATGGGGACAAATAACTTTACTCACGCTGATTTGGGCAAAAGTATTGCCTTTAGTGGGTATAACTCGGTGTGTATAGCTGTCTTCTGCTAAAATGGCTGCAGCTGGCTTTTCTTTGGGAAGATTAATACAGAATAAAGACATTTATTTTCAGAATGCTCTATAAAAATGTGGTCCTATGTCCACAGGAGAGAGGGGAAAAAACTTCATTCTGTTCTGTACTGTTGTCTCACCTGGTGCCACGCTCTGGCTAAAAGTCTCACTGAAGACTGAGACTCGTGGCAGACCTGCTCAAACTACAGCTGCAAACTGGGTTTCTCTGTATTTCTGTAATTGTTTCATTGTGGACCCCTCCTGCTTAGTTTATGGAAACAGCTCTGGCAGATGGGCTGCTCATAATTAGCATTTCAGAAGGGAAGGCTTACGGTATTTTTCTACATCTCCTCAAGAAGTCAAAATAATGTATGCCATGACCATTTTATATTTTTAAGAAAGAAAGTCTCAAACCTACTGATGGGACAATTTTAGTTGCAGATCTTTTAAAAATCTGATGAAAACTCGGTGATGAAGAGAAAGCTGTAATTATTATGTGTACCACTTGAAATGGAGAGTTCTAGGAAGCTCTGGTTTACAGAGATGTTTCTGTTTCCAGTTGCCTTGGAAACAGTTAAAAATCCAGAGAAAAGGTTATTAAAGAGTTGAGAATGAGGTAGGTAGGTACATGTCTGTTGCTGCGTGGTGTTCTGCCAAGCAGCCATAAACCAGCAACTGCTTAGCAGAGTTTTTAATAATTTAAGGGACAGATTTCTCTATTACCTGCCCAGCTCATTAGCTTGACGTGCCCAAAAGCATTCTCATGGCCCTTTTACATGTCTACAGGATAAATGAATGGTATAAATACCAAGCAGGACTTCCCCTATGAAGCAGAAGACTTTTGAGTAGATGGGTGTTAGGTCCAAGGAGGTTGGGCAATGGGCATAGTGCCTCACAGGGGCCTGAACTTTCTGGAGCACTAGTAAAGACAAATACAAAACACATTCTACAGACTATCTTCTTGCTTTGATGCAGGATTGAAGAAAAATAGGTAGAGGAATCATATCCTATGCTAGCTGTCATTCTGCTCTCCAAAAACCTAGTGCACATCCACGTCACTCCTGAACTGTCCATGCTGGGAAAATGCACTGGGTTAACATTTTACTAGAACAGCATTAAAAGTAACAATACCAACCCTGATCTTACATAAAGGTGAGTGAAAAACAGCTCAGTTTACCATTTGTGGGTTGGAGGTACATGGATGGGTAGACATGTAACATTTTCTTGATACTCATCAGGGTGTCAAGGCATCTGATGTGAAGTGACTGGAAATACTCCTTGACAAAACTGCTGGAAAAACTAAGATTCATACAATGTAGTTTCTTACTAAGCAGTTCCAGAGACAGCTTAACACCTTAAAGTCCACCCAGGGCTAGCCACTTGTCATCAGGTGTTTGAACTGGCTTTCGTTTTGTAGCTATTAATATAGAGGAGTTATTAGCTCTGCTACACTAAGCCTTAGAGAAATATCCTTCACTTTAATGATTATTAAAGAAAGCTGTACAGTTTAAAGACTGACAAAATTCAAAAACATGAGTACTCAAATGAGAGATTTAGCAGCTTATCCTTCCACTTACAAGCAGCAAGGCAGCCAAACTAAGCTTTCCTTATATATTGTCACAGACACAACAGAAAAGCTCAGCTAAATAAACTTAGAAGAATTTCCAGCAAAAAGCTGAGCCTGCCACCATAACTTGTCTAAAAGCTAACACCTAGGCTTCTACTAGATTATATGGTTTCCCAATTACACAATTTATGTTAAGAGCACTTAACATGGATTGCCTGATACTTATTACACTCCCTTAACGCTGCTGTTGTGTGTGTGTCCTGGAAAATGAAGGCAACGCTGCACTTGTAATTTCAGGCACACTGCAGTGAAACCACTGGAAACCAGTTTTATGTCAGATGGGAGTTTCCATTGTTAAATGTCAAAACCTGAACTTTAAAGATAGTTATGCCTTCGTGTAAATATAATGGAAGAAATAGTTTTGAAGCAGCAGCTGCCCCGCAGTGATACACTGATTACTCTGGACATGTGGGGACTAATTACCACAACAGTGCCCTCCAACAGGATGGCATCACCCTGGGACAAATTAGTGAATACACAGCTGAAAATGTTTTTGGTAGAGACTGACTGAACAGATTCATTTTCCATTAAGTTTTTTTTTCAGCCCATACTTTGCTATGCAACATATTTTATTTACTAAAAGCTGAACACAACAGCATACAAGTCTCCACAGACCTGTGCACTTGTGTCACAGGCTGGCAGTGCACATACTTTGCATTAAGAGGATTAATCAGATTACATTTATTAACCAAGGCCTTCGTTGTCATCCTGAGACTGCACACTGGCATTGATTACACAGAGGAGCCAGTAATTTTAGAGGGCATTCTCTTAATGATTATTTCAGTTGGCTTTGGTGTTATTATTCTGCAGTTTGCCAGCTTGCTGCTGAAGGTGAACCTGGAAAAAGATATGTATCTGTATTCTTCTGTGCATAAAAATAACTACTTACCAATGTATAAAATTGTAATTTAAAACTACATTCTGGGGAAGTATTTGTACTTTCAGTTTTTCACTAGAAATGTAAATAGAGTTATCTAAAGTTTTATCCTCCCAGCAACTCAAAAGATACTTTTTGTTTATTCCCCAAGATAAATCAACATCTGAAATAGCTCAGATGTACTACAACTTTCATATGCAAAACAGTTACCTTCTCATAAAAGTTTTCTTTCTTTAGACAACAAACAGAAAATAAAAATTTCCAAGCAAAAAGGGGGAAAAGAAACTTCTATAGAACTAGAAAGAATTTTAAGGTGTTTTGTGAAAACCATAAAACAAGTTAGAGATTGTTTACATCAAGTATAATATCTTATGAAGTATTTTACACAGTAACATTTATATTCAGTCACTCAGAAATAGCATACCAAAGTAACTCCTGGGTACTTGAGCAAAACAGGAGAAATATATATCTAGAATATGTTGGTGTTACCTGAAAAACTCATTGTGTCTCTGGAAGATATTATGCTATATAAAATTAATTCTTAATGCTAACAGACAGAGAAAAAATTACTTGGGAATGTTGGCCCAAACTTGAATGCAGATTGTGCATATTTTCCAAATCCTTATAGAAGAAATTTTAGTATCTGGAGTTTGTCAGCTCCCACAAGTGAATGAGGACAGTCACTACTTCTGCTTTTATTGTGCACACAGCTTAGATACTGCATGTGTCTCCCAAATCCTGTGCTTTTCATTAAAATCCTACCATAATCATGCTGGGTTTTATTCAGTGTTTTGATAAAAATACTGGTGAAGGCAAATTTTTGCCAAAGCACCAAAGCAGGCAGGAAGGTTTTTTGAGATTCTCTGGCTTTGTACATTCCTCAAAGAGCTGGTCTATGAGTCACTGCTTAAAACCTCCACAGACTTCAAGACTGGGTCTCAGGGAAGAGCCCCCACTTCAAAATTCTCTGATGTAAAAGTGGCAATTTTTACACAACCATCACTGATCTTTAAACCCATTCTCATTTCATAGATTTTTCAAGGCACACCCAACTCAGTAATGCAAGTGCCACCAGCTTCCCCATGGAATTGTTCTCCAGGTGATGCCAGCACTTGTGGAAATTCTCCCTCAGCCACTGCAAGGCTGGCTTTAAAGCACAGCTTGACTTCTTTCTGTAGCCTTGATACAGAACACAACCAGGTTTACTTTGTTCTTTTTCTCCATGCAGATGATAATGAAGTGCCTTATAAAAGAGGTTAAATTTTACAACAGTTCTGCTGCTGTGTTTCTAATTATAAAAGTAGTTTTGTTCCTTGGATAGAATGCAAGCTGGGTAGAATGAAAGTGAAGTATTTTATACTTCCTGTAAGAAAGCCAGGCTCTGCCAGGGTGGCTCACAAGCTCCTTTTAGGAGGTATTTAGGTTGGTATTTATTGCTCACTTTTAGGTGAGTATTTATTGCTCACTTTCCAGTTGAACAGCACAGGCTCTTATACAAACAATAGTACATAGGGGGGTTGAAATATTACTCTTCAATACTACTGTGATCTATATTCTTACAAAAGAGGTGCAGATAAGGCTTTGTCTAATATAAAATTCTTCTCTGAGCCACCTTTGTTTCTCTCTCTCACAATCTCCACATGACAGCACAAATACTTTACATTTCACACAAACCACAAATGAGACTGTGTGTGAAAGGTGTGCCAGTCATGACAAATTATAAGGCTCAAAATCCATACCATTGAACCTGGGCACTCCAGCAGACAGCCCTGCAACCCATCACAGACCAAAAGAGTAATTTCTGATTTTTCAATGCTGGAGAAATAAGAAAGCCAGAATGGTAAATATTTTTACACTAGACATTTCAAGGTCCTGATAAGAATTATTTTCATAACTAAGTATGGGGGTTGGAGGTAAAAGTATTAATATTTGTTTAAATTATTATCACATAGGTGGACAAGCAAAAAAGCAACAAGCACTATGATAAATCCTTAAAAAAAGAGAGTGATTAAGTGTACTTGCTTCTTCTTTTGGCAATAGAAAAATAAAACCTCTGTTACTCTCTGCAGTGCAATTTTCTGATGCCAAAGCTGTCTCTCCAAAATCCTTTCAATCCTCTCCTGTCTCCATTAAAACACAAATAAGTTTACAGCTCAGTGCGTGACTTTAGATCCCAAACATTCTCAGAACTTTACTGAGCACAATACCGTGGGTTTGCCATTTGTGCAAGCAAAGACTTTGCTCAGTTGCTCATAGAATGCCACAGTACTAAAGACTGTCACTTCTACAGTTGGATGAAAAATTACCCTTTCACATTTACTTTGCCCTTTTTTGGCCTTTTTACAGAGCCAAATGTTATATGAGAGATAGGATCTAAAAGGTAGTGTTATCTTGGGAGAAAATAAGCTAAAATTTATATTAAAAGATGCCTAAAGATAAGAAAAACTAGGAGGGAAGAAAACCTAAGAGCAATGAAAACAAAAACTAAATGTCCTTTCAGCATAATTCTGAAAGGCCCTGCTCTAAAAAATATCCATGTAGTCATCCAGATAAGAAACTGGAACAAAAAATAATGAGTGAAACCTAGATATTTTTTGCAGCTTGGAGAAGGACATTTTTGTTATTCAGCATCAATTGTGCAAAGAGATCTACTATCTGAATAAATGGTTTGATATGTTCAGCTATAATGGAAAAACTTATCTGCTGAAAATTTGCTGGCACAAGAGAAGAGCTGTGCTACAGAATATTCCAAAGTCACCCAGAGCATCCTCACCTCACAGCAGAGCTGTGAGGCAGCAGCAGACCTGCACCCCACCCTCTGAAAGTGCCAGAGGTGTTTCTGTTGGACACCCACTGTAAAAGGCAGCATCTGTAATTCTGTGAATGTCTGTGAGACTGTGCAGGAGATTAAAACCTCTGAGATGAGCTGCAGGGGATGCCCAGAAATTTCCACGTGCTTATTAACACTTTGAGGATGTTCAGTGTTGCTGCTCTTGAATTAAACATGTAGGTAGTTGATTGCTGGTTAGCTGTAATTAATAAATCAATAAACCACTTATTCTTGACTTAAACCACAAAACTGAACACTTTTTCCATGTGATAATCACTAGGGAATAAATAATGAAGAGAGAATAAGTGCTCTTTTTTATAGTACAAGAATACAAAGACATCAAATGATGCAAATAAGAAAGAGGAGTTACTTCTCCAAACAATGTGTAAAGAAATATAAGATTCTTTTCCAAAACATGCTAAACAGGTTAAAAACTGATTGAAAGAAATTCAGTGAAGAAGTTAAGAAAATGGATGTTAAATGTAATGTTAATGTAATATATATATCTGCTAAATGTAATACATTTATCGGCTAAACAACAAATTATTGAAAATGCTGAATATATTCATTATGCTGAATGATTACAGGGGCGAAGTAACACTACATGTTTGTGCTACTCTAATATGCTAATTTATTTTTTTCCCAGGCACTCACCAGTAGCCACTGGTATAAAAAAGATGGTTAGATCTTTGGTCTGAGCAATTGTCTGTTGTTTTCTCTCTCTAATGCAGGATTTCTTTTCTCTGCTAAAAACTAATTCAGGACTATTTCTGCCAAGTTTTTCATTACTGCATGTAAATCTCTTTGTATGCATAATAAATACCAAGGATATACTGAATTTTCACAAAGCCACAAGTAGCAAACTTTACAAACCAGAATGAGTCAAACCAAATGAAATTCCACTCGTTAAGCTAATGGAGTTCCAAAGTCCCCTCAAAGCCCAGAAATGCTGGCACAGAGCACAGTTTATGTAACAAGTCTGTGGAAAACCCTTAGAAGTGCTAGTAAAGCTCTGCTTTTCCCCACCACAGGAATGATCCCCAAAACTACATAAAATCAGTTTTCAAATCAATGAATTTTCATCCAGACAAAACAAAGGAGATGCCCATAAGCTGGCTCCTTCACTATCTTGGAAAGCTTTCTGCTATCAGCATATGTTCACAGAGAAACAACAAATAGTCCTCATTTTCCTAAGAATTCACATTAAATGCTACAACCAAACAGTAAATGAAGGGCCATTCCTATGTGGAATTGGAAACCACTTGCTTTAAAATGATCTCTTTTTTTCCTCTCTCTCTCTCTAGGAAATATTATTCACCAGAAATAAGTGTTTTTTTGTTTTTCACAGTCCAGTTTTCTTCCAATGATGAATTCCAGAACCACAAAGAAGTAGATGTCATATCTAAGAAACACAGTTTTAGGCCTATAAAAATACTTTTCAATACTACTCTAAGTTAATCACAGTAACATCCTAATCTTTCCTAAGAAAGATAAAATAACACATCACAGATCCACTTAGGGAGGGAGTGTTTTCAGAGGAGTTCAGTGATAGCACAGCACACTGGCACAATATCTGATGACTCCATTATTAGAGAAAGCTGATTTCTTGGGAAAGGCATTTAATTGCTAAAATATCCTCTAACAGAATATTACTTACCCTGCTCCAAAGACACATGCTGATGTCAAGATAATGTGTTCCAGAGAATTCCAAAGTTTGAAATTTCACAGGGACAAAATAAAGCCCTGAGGTGACTTTTTGCTGTAGTCAGGCACAGCACGTGACTGAAGTGATCTTACCTTCAAATGCAGCATATGGAAGGGGTGAGTGAGGCAGGAAAGCTGGACCTAGCCTAGGATTTACTGGCAAACTACTGATCTACTACAGGCTTTCTAGAAAATAAATTCTGGAGACATTGTGCCAAAGATTGTTTAATGCCAGCATCTTACAAAACAATATTAAAATGTTTCATAATATCAACATAAGTATTGATTCCATTCACATTTTTATTGAATGACATTTACTCATTTTGATTCCTTTCTTCTTCTCTCCTCATTTTCAAGTAGGGCTTAAACAACTATTTTTCTACAGAATGTCAATACTGAGAGCTGTTTGCAAAAATTTCCCAGACCACCCATTGGCATAACAGTCAAGTAACAATGATACATAATGAGTCCCTGCCTCTTTATTTGCCAGTTCAGTGCCAAATGGTTGAGAGAGTGATGCATTATCTTACAAAAACAATTTGCAAGATTTGTGTATTTTAAGGAAATTCTAAAAGTCTTAACTTCGTCTTTAAAAAAAAAAAAAAAATCAGACTTTCTTACCATTTTCTTTACTATTCCATCTGGTTTGTTGGTTTTCCTCTTTTTGGAGATTACAGATAGGGTTTTTTAAAACCATAAATCTTCTCAAGTGAGGAGAAGCTTTGGCTCTGACCCTGGAAACCTATATGTGTTTCACACAGCAACAACATATATTCCCCCTCCTGGAGTACCTCAGAGTTAGAGGACTAATGTGATGTAGTCTTTTGTACACAGATATAGAATCTTTCATGTATTGCACAGTATAAACAAATAAAAAAGTTTTAGAGGTGTATATTCCAAATTCTTAGTTCTATCCAATCAACAAGTGTGATATTCCAAAAAATTGTCCCTGAACTCTAATGTAATCCAGGCCAGATTCTGAGATCTGTGTGTGTCTTTTTGCACAGAATTGTGTGCTGACACCAAAATAAGAAGTCAGCCTTAAGGCCCTTGGAAAGTCCCAGGCCATCACTTTCCCAGGTCTGCATTTCCATTTACCTCAAATCTGCTGACCTACGTAAATTAGGCAAGTTTTCTTTTCTTTAATTTAGGTACTTGAACATTTTACCAATGTATGAACAGAATAAAAGTAAGGGGAATAAATTATGGAGTGATGTGGAAGAGGTTATACAGCAACTTCTGTGAGCCAGAGAGAAGAGGATCCATGTTTACCCCTGAAAGAATTTTCTACCAAGGTCATTGACATAGAAACCAAGAAAGAAAGAAGGAAAAATAAGAGAAACCTGTAAGTGTCTGTTCCAATAAATACTTTGTCTCTTGTGACCAATGAGGAAAGTGTCCTGGCTTGTAAGATAAGCATGTATTCTATTTGCCATCTGTTGGAGGTTGGGCAGTTTTCTTATCTCTTCCAAGAACAATGTCTCCCTCCAGGGAGATATCTTCTGTTAATGGGTCATGGAATGACTCACTGCATGACTGGGAAAGTTCCATCATCCCATTGTGAGATGCTCCACCCGGAGGGAGGAGCCAAGCATTCTTACCTGCATAAAATCAGCACTTTTTGGGACACTGCCAGCCACTTCACTGGATTCCCAGAGCAGCAGCTTCTTCTCTGCTGAATTCCCAGAGGAAGACCAGGCCCAACTACTACCAGACCTTCAGAGAAAACTAGACCCTTCTACAGATCACCACTTCAGCAGCATCTCATCTGCCACTCCAAGAGAAGCAGCCACCATTTTAACTGGACTGCTACCAACATCCTGACTCCTCAGGGTGTCAGGTTTCTGACTCCATCACTAGTTTCATTTGTATTAATTACATTTTTTATTATTATTATTTTTATTTAGTTTTTTCCTAGTAAAGAACTGTTATTCCCATTCCCATATCTTTGCCTGAGAGACTTTTTAGAAATTGTGGTAATTCGGAGGGGGGGGGGTTACCTTTTCCATTTCACAGGAGGCTTTTGCCTTCCTTCACAGACTCCTGTCTTTTCAAACCAAGACAGGAAAGTGTAAACTTATGAGTTTTGTAAGAATGTATAAAAAGCATGCATGCTATAATAAAAACAGGTTTGAAGTCTTCTGAAAATGGAGTGTGTTGCTTTGTATTGTCTCAATTACGACAGAGTGATAAAATTTTAAAATAGTCGCCTTTGCTAATTTACTGCAACTCCTTTCATGTAAGGCACATTATCAAGTAAACTGCTCTGCAACTAAAATTGGTGTGTTGCTGATTCAAAGGCAAAGATTACACTGTTAAAGTGTAAAATTGATTTGTCAGCATGACATTACACTTTGATTAAGAGGCAAACACAGTTTACCTCCTCAGCAATTCATTTTTTATATATCATACATGATAAACATGATTGTGAAAATGATTGTAGCAATAAAGTACAATTTCTCTTGTAAAAGTATCCTAAATCTAAACATTTCTTCGGTCTTTTTCAAAATATTGGCACTTAAATTATATGCATAATAGTATGCTTTGAGTCCATGAGAAGTTTCTTTCAAGTAATAAAGATCAATCTGTTTCCTGAACAGGCTTAAAATGCATCTACAGTAGTCTATGCTACTTTAGTGTTAAATAATGAGGTAGCACATTGTTCCAAAATTGTTCTGGATTATGTAAACCATTTGCTAGATGACGTTTGGATTTCATGTTTAGTTTAGAGCTGTTTGGTAAATCACTGCTTTCTGCCTTTTCTGGCTTCCTGGGTTTGCTTTTCTTTTCTGGAAGTTTACTACTATAGTTTTTCCTTTTATCTTTTGCTTTTTCCTCTTCTTCTTCCTCCTCATCCTCATCTTCTTCTCCCTCACCCTCTTCTTCCTCTTCTCCTAAATCCCTTTTCTCCTCATCTCCTTCTTCTCCCTCTTCCTCGTCACCTTCTTCCCCCTCTCCCTCTTCCCCTTCTTCTTCCTCCTCTCCCTCTTCTCCCTTTTCTTCTTCCCCCTCTTCTTCTTCCTCCTCACCCTCTTCTCCTTTTTCTTCCTCCCCTTCTTCTTCTTCCTCCTCACCCTCTTCGCCTTTTTCTTCCTCCCACTCTTCCTCTTCTTCTTCCTCTTCAACCTCTTCCTCTTTTTCCTCTTCCTCCTCCCCTTCTCCTTCATCTTCTTCTTCTTCTTCCTGTTCTCCCTCTTCCCCCTCCTCTACCTCTTCTTCCTCTCCTGTTTCCTCATCTCCCCTTTCCTCCACTCCTTCTTCTTCCTCCTCATCTTCCTCTTCTTCTTCTACTCCCTCTTTTCCCTCATCTTCTCCAACACTCTCTTCTTCCTCTCCTACTCCTTCATCTTCTTCCACTCCTTCTCCCTCTTCTTTATCTTCCCCTTTCTCTTCATTTTCCCCCTCCTCTTCTTCCTTTTCATTTTCTTCCCCCTCGTCCCCTTCTACTTCTGCCTCTATTCCTTCCTCTTTCTCATCTTCTCTTTCCTCTTCCACTTCATCCTCCCCACCTTTTCCGTCTTCCACTCCATCCACATACACTTCCTTAGCTTTTCTATTTGCATCTTCCTCATCCTGCTCTTCTTCAGATACCTCTTCTTCCCTCTCTGCCAATGATTCTCCCAACTCCTCTTCATCTGCTTTGTCTTTTTCATTCTCCCTTTCTTTTTCCTCTTCATCTTCCTTTTCATCTTCTCCTTCCTCTTCTGTCTCTACCTCTTTTTCTTCCCCTTCCTCTTCTGCCTCTACCTCTTTTTCTTCCCCTTCCTCTTTATCTTCCCCATCTTCCTCACTCTCTTGTCTTCCCTCACTTTTAATTTGCTCTTTTTCTTTTTCAGTGCCTTCCTCTTTCTCATACTTCTCCTCCATATCCTCCTTTTCTCCCTCACTCATCATTTCTACTTCCTCCATCAACCTGCCTTGCTCATCTCTTTGCTCTTTGCCATCTTGCTGGCTGAACTCCTCAGTCTCCTCTGCACCCTCATTCCCACTGTCTCTTTCAGTCTGTGATTCTTCTTTTTCATTTTCTTCCTCATTATCTTTTCCCGCTTCATCTTTTTCTACTGAAACTTCATCTCTGCCTTTTTTAACCTCACTCTCTTCTTCCTCCCCTTCACTGTTAACTGTTTCATCTAGTTTTTCTTTTTCACTTTCACCCTTTTCACTGCTTTCATTCTCCTGCTCCTGATCAGATTCCTCTTCATTCTTAATTTCTAATGGCCTGACTTCATCAGGTACAGCATCAGAGCTCATTTCTTCCTCATTCAGGCTTTTTAAATCAGTCTGTTCTACACTTTCTTTCTCATTGTTTGTAGCTTGCATCTCTTCAATCTCACTGTCTTTTTCAAAGCCCAGCTGTGTCACTGTCCTCCTTGCCCTCTGGACAACTCTGTGTTCATAGTAGGTCTCTTCCTTAAGTACATATTTTTGGAGATCATTAGTAATTTCCTCAGTTGAAGATGATGATGAAGTTACAGATACTTGTTTCAAAAACTGATGCCTTTTTTTAAGCTCCTTCTGTTCTGCACTACTTTCTTCTCCTGTGACATTTATTCTTTCACACTTGTCAGATTTTTCAACACCATCCTTTATTTTGTTTTGACTATCTGTTGGTTTTTCACTCCCTTGCTTTTTAACAGGACTGTATTCTTGTACAATTAATGAATCAGTCTGGGGCTGATCCCTGGGAGCAGAAGGAAGTACCTCTATTTTAAGGGATTGCTTAGATTTAACAGCTTTTGGCTTTTTATTGGAAGAATTTATTTTTTCAGTCAGAATTTGATTTTCAGTGGGAAGATTATATGTTGCATCCTCTCTGAAAAATTCAGGATTTTCCACACACTCTTTTTCCCTTTTCACTAATATGCTTTTGTCCTCGGTGATTTCTTGAGCACCACTTTTCAAAGTACTATCACTTTGTGCATGCCCAGATTTACCTTTCTTTATACT